TCGCAGGTGCAAGGTCCCAAGTTCGATCCCTGGTATCAAAAAAAACCAAAAACTAATGAACTAGATAGATTTATTATTATGGACAGAGCTCAAAAACTTATTATTCAATGAAAAAAGCAAGTTGCTGAAATAAATGAACAATATATCACTACTGAATGTAAGATACATATGTAACATGGAATGGGAAGATATAGTCCAATCTCTTGAGAGTAGCTGCTTCTGGTCAGTGGCAGTAAGACTGGCATGAGGGTAGGAAGGATATTACAAAGACTTCAATTTCATCAGTATTATTTTATTTTTGTTTTTTAAAATGTACAAAGTGGGGCCAGGGATTTAGCTCAGTGGTTCTGGCACCTGCCTTGCAAGCACAAGGTCCCGAGTTCGATTCCCAGTACCAAAAATAAATAAGTAAAAATGACCAAAGTTGGGCTTTATGCTATGCATATCAAAGAAAGAAATTACCTATTGCTTGCTAAGTATCTTCAAATGAACTCAAAAATCATTATAAAGGCTAAAGATTTTCTTCATACTTGGAGCTCAAAAAGGGTAGAAAATAACATGGCCCAAACTAAACTTTGGATGGATGGGAGGGCCAGAGCCTTTGCACTAAGCTACACTCCGAGTCCTTTTTTATTTGGAGACAGGGTGTCATTAAGTCACACAGGCTGGGCTTAAACTTGGAATCCTCCTGCCTCAGCCTCCCAATTGCTGGGATTACAAGCATGCACCACCACACCTGGCCTTAAATTTAGTTTTGGAACACGACTAGAAAACACTGATTTATGAATCAGGAATAGCACATCTGTTCTTACACACACATGGAATGTCTGCAGCAGGGTAATATCTGTGGAGCCCCCTACACAGGGAATGCTGTGTGTAAACCAATAAATGAATCACATTGGCACTGGGAATAGCTACTTGCCCAGAATAAGTAATAGTTAAACAAAGTGAGTAGAAGCAATGCTGGTTTCATTCATTTTAGCTTCAACTCCTTTTTTCACTTAGACTTTTCCTATCTCCTTTCCCATTCTAACATTCTAGTCCAACCACCGTTCCACTTCTTGAAATCCCTCCCCTCTCTGCCTCAGGTCATCTAGCAAAATTCCAACTGATCTTCAAAGCCCAAGGGAATCCCCCCCTCCTCATGAACCCATCCCATACCTCTCCAAGACTATAAATGTTATATGCAAGAGGAAGAGAGTCCTTAATCACAGGTCCTAAACTTGAGTCTTTTTTGACTCCTATCTTCAACCCCTACACCAGCATCTTATCTCTCTCTACCTTAAACATCTATCCAGAGTGTGACCACTTCCACCTTCCCTAACACTATCCTGGTCCAAGCCACCAATATCAATCATCTGGACAATACAATAGCTTTTCCTCAAATGAAGACATGAGGCAAGCTGATGACAGGAAATGTCTAAAAGCAAGCATTCCCAAGCCAAAAGGATCAAATCCCAAAGCTTCAGATGAACAGCAAGATCTAGATCAATGTAGGTTTTCCCAAGGTATTTCCATATCCTCCCTCCCAAAAATCTCTAACAAAAACAATTCATTTTGTCTATGACATTAAAGTGCTCAAGTTCAGACATCTTTACCCTCCAAAAGAACTGCATTTTTAAAGAAAAAGATTTTGATTTTGTTTTGGATACAGGGGATTGAGCCCAGGGCCTTCACAATGAGCTACATGCCCAGCTATTTTATTTGTTTTTTATTTTGAGACAGGGTCTTGCTAGGTCATTAAGTTGCCTTGGCTCACAGTTCTCCTGCCTCAACCTCCCAGAGTGCTGGAATTACAAGTGGGTACCACTGAACTCAGCTAGGAAAGGATTTTGGATGAGACTTCAGTATATGAAAATTGGTAAATAACTTCACAATATGAAAATCAGTAAGCCCTCAAGTGAGTCAACAAGGAATACAGAACATCAAAAATAAAACTGAAAATCTGATCCTGGTTTTCACATACTCACTCCACCACTGCTAAATACATAGTAAGCTAAGAAAGGTATTTATGCCATTCTTTCAAGGATCTTCAACAGCTTTACACAGAAGAACTAGTAGAGATTGCCATCTCTACCTTAGAGCATTATTTCTATTATTAGGAAGAAGTCAAGCCACAAACAGTTCAAAGTAGAGCTTTTATGCTGACAGTGTGAGCTAAAATTAAATGCACATATATTGGAGTACATTTGTGGTTAATTCTGTCAAAAACTGACTCTAAACACTGAGTTACAAGAGAATATAGAAAGGGTTTTTTTTAATTCACATATTAACTCCATTTCTACCCAGGGCCCTCCATCTCACTCTCTACAGGCTAACTACATGTTTCCATTGTGGAAAGCCACATTAAAAGACAAGCAACAGACCACAATTGCCTAGTTAATCTTTAGCACAACCACTGAATCAGAGCATGCTCTCTTGAGCCCCCAAGTTCTGGCCCCACACTGTAACTGTATGTGGGTACAAGAGACCTAAGGGGTTTGGAAAAAGGGAGAGCTCAAACAATGTTCTTGTCAGCAATTTAAACAAAAAATCCATTGAATGAGAATGGTACTATGTTCTTTTTGCCCTTTCTCCCTAGGAACTAAATTAAACAGATTACAGACAGTGGCAAGATCTGGCCTTACAATAGCCTCCCCCCTTATTTGTTATTTTTAGCAATTTAGTCTGACAACGCCTGACAACTAAACATGCCTAGAATAGCTAAAGGGAAAGGGAATTATCAGATACTACCAGTAAAAAAAAACACTAGTCATCACTTCCTCCAATCCTAAGAAAGAATCATTTTCCACATCTTTACAGCATCACAGCATGAGCCTTTAAAGTCACATATGAAAACAAAGTATGTATAAAATATCAGTGGAAACTGAGAACGGTTTTTGACCTGGAGTATTATCCTACCCTCTCTACATGTGTTTTCTTAAAAACAAAGGCAGCAGCAAATGAACTAAACTGTTTTACACAAAAGTTAGGAATACAATGCATTTGTGTCCATTCTGGAAAAATTTCCTTACAAGATGATTACACACCCAAAAGAATGGCTTCATGAAGAGTCATGGAATGCAAGTACTTTCATTATGCTGGCGGCAGGTGAGAGATTTGTTTCAAAGCAAGGCAAAGTGACTGGACAGATTCTTCCAATTAATCAAAATTAGGAATCCCTAGACATTCTATTTATAAATTAAATAGTATAGCAAAAGTTCTTTCAAAAATGAAAAAGTCAGGTATGGTGGTACACACCTGTAATCCCAAATACTCAGGAGGCTGAGGCAGGAGGAATGCTGTGAGTTCAAGGCCAGCCTGAACACTTAGTGAAACCCTGTCTCAAAAAAAAACATAACAATTTGGTAATGTTCTTAAGAAAGTATTGTAACTGTAACATTAAAAATCATAAAACTTTTTATAGTTTTATAAAAATTAATAGCGTAGCTGGGGCTTTAGCTCAGTGGTTTCGCCACCTGCTGCGCAAGCACAAGTACCTGAGTTCGATCTCTGGAACCAAAAAAAAAAATTAATAGCATAACTTATAAAATGCCCATGTACACACAAGGAATAAATCATTTATCAACATTTCCTGAACACTGGGCCATGCATGCCAATGTTCTAAGTATGTATCTTATGAGACAGTATAGGATAAAAACACTACAGATGAATAAAATTTGAGTATGTTAATTACGGTACTGGGGATTGAACTCGAGTCCTTGCACTTGCGAGGCAGGCAACGGAACCCCTGAGCTAAATTCCCAGCCTCGAGTATGTTAATTTACGTATGTGGAGCTCTGTCCAAAAGTCTGTATCTTTAAACAGGTGATGCCTAATATAAACTACATTTAAACCACTGCAAGCATGTTTCTATGCTTTAAGTGACTACTACAAAGACATCAAGAGATGCCATCATGTTCTATTACTTTTTGGATGTGAAAGCTGTACGTAGAACACTACTTTTATTATATGTAGCTTCAAAAACAGGGTTCCAATTAACTTTTTTTGTTTTTGGTACTGGGGATCAAACTCAGGACCTTGCGGTTGCGAGGCAGGCGGCAAAACCACTGACCTAAATCCCCGGCCTTCTAATTAACTTTTTAAAGTAAGGTAATGGTCAGGTGTGGTGATGTACATTTGTAATCCCAGCACCCTAGGAGGATGAGGCAGAAAGTTTACAATTTCAAGTCCAGCTTGGGCAACTTAGTGACTTAGGGAGACCCTGTCCCAAAATAAAAATAAAAGGGGATGGGGATATAGTTCAGTGCAAAGGCCCTGGGTTCAATCCCCAAAACTGCAAAGTAATAATAATAATGATGATGTAAGATAATGAACTGAACATGGAAGGAAACCATTTTGTTTTGCTCTTCTTACCATCTTTTCATTTTAAGGAGGCATTTTTGCTAATTTGGCAATTTAGAAAAAGATCAAGGTTATAATAATAAACTTAATAGAAGTGATTAGAATGATCCTAGAGATCTTCTGATTCAAACCTCTTCTAGAGACAAAAACTAAAAGCTTATGGTACAGCATGGGCTAGAATCAAGAACTCCTAAATCTACATAAGGTTTTTAAATTAGGAATTTAGGGTAAGGAATGTTCTGCTGTAAATCTAGTGGACTTGGAGATCTCTGGCTCAAATGTCAGCCCTTTGGATTTTGTTCTTTTGAGCTAATGTGTTACTATGCGCGTTTTACAGGTGTGACCTTCCTCACATGAGCACTGAACAAGGCTGCTTTTCCTGGCCAGTATCTATTACTTCCGGTTGGAGGAGACCCATGATATGAGAAGAAAAACTGACAGATCAGAGTTAAGCATCAAAGGTAAAGAAAATACACTGATTAATTTCTCCTTTACATATAGTCACAAAAGCAGGGATATACAAAAAAGAAAATTCCAAGTCTTAACTCATAAAAAGAAATCATTCTCTAAGTAGCCTAAAAATGACTTGAGTAACTCTCAGGCATGGGAAGGAGGAAGCTGAGGACACATTCATGGTCAAAGACAAAAGTACATACCATGTAAGCATCTAACACTGGAGTTTGAGGTCAATAACTCAGAAGCATTCAAGGGGATAATGTGGTGTGCACTCAGGTACGTAATCCAAGGAGATAAGGAAGACACCTGGAGCCAGGGATTTAGCTCAGTGGTTCCAATGCCTGCCTTGAAAGCGCAAGGTCCTGAATTCGATCCCCGGTACCAAAAAAAAAAAAAAAGAAGACACCTGGAGAATGTATACAAGAAGAAAAGAATAACTGCCTCAAGATGCAAAAAGGTGAACTCTGGGGAAATGGGAATGCAAATCCAACTACCTCCAATCTTTTACCTTAGTCATAAGAACAAGATGCACCATCAGAGAATAGATCAAGTCTGAGGGGTATGTATGGCTATATAAAAATGTCTGAGATATACAGCTTACAAATAAGAAAGGCTATTCTGTGAAAAGGAGCAGTCTATTTGAACTGTTTACATTTAAGCTCTCAGACCAAAAATATTTCAACAGAAGAAATGAAACATACCACAGATGGGGGCCAGGGATTTAGCTCAGTGGTTTCGCCACCTGGTGCGCAAGCGCAAGGACCCGAGTTCAATCCCCAGTACCGAAAAGAAAAATAAAGAACATACCACAGATGGTTTACATTTGGTCAAATTTTAGCCCTTAGATCACAACACATATACACAGACCAAGACACTGACAATAAGGAATGCTCAACCAGAAAAAAGAACATACATGGGCTTTGGGGTACCTATGACTACTTTTCTCTGGAAGCCACAAAGGAGGATTCTGCAGCTACATAAAGCTCCAAGACAACAGGACAGGGAGATTATATACAGTTCACTATAAATTCTGGGGTTTCCAACCACTAGACTCTTGTAGACTTGTCTTAAATAACTGAAAATCATTTTAAAACAAACATCCATTTTTATAAATGTTGAGAATGCAAACGAACTCTATAAAGAGATAAGCATTCATTTCTGAAATCCCAATGTATATGTATATATGAGAGATCACTTGACCCAAGATTCTCCATGTCAAAACAACACAGAAAACAGATTGGTTGGTAATTTTTACATTTACTTCAAAAAACAAAACAAAAAAAATGACATCCATAAGCACCTAGTTATCTAGCTACTACTGAAGGTAGGTAATCACCAAGCTAATTTTTAGAGTAGAGACATTTTGTACTTCTTTCCAAGACTTGAACTCTCCTGGGGTTAAGGGTGGTGGTGGTCTCTGAAAATAACTCCCCCAAAAAAGAAATAGAGGTAGAAGTAAAGATAAGAACATACTGATTTTTTTAAAGAATAAAAATGGACTGTCTGCCTGGTACTTCTATATAATGGCATATCAGATAGCAATGAAAATGAACAAATCATAGTGTCAAGTAACAACATGCACTTCACAAATATGTGCTGAGCAAAAGTAGAAAGACCAAAAAAGAATATACAGTGATTTTGTTTACAAAGTCCACATAGGCAAAACTAAATTATAGTTTAAGGTTACATTTACAGATAATAAAACTATATTTTTTGAAAAGAAAATAATTATCACAAAAGTTCAGGCAGTAATTAGTGCAGCAAGGGGGCTGGCAGGGATGGCAGTATGATCAAAGAGAAAAATTACAGGATAAGGCAGCTCTGGTGTCTGGCCAATGAATCCTCAGCCTAGTGGTATTTTTAAAAAAAGCATATATATGTATATATATGTACACATATAGATAATATACACACACATATATACACACACATAAAACTTTGCATACATTTCTATAAATGTTATATTTCACTATGAAATAAATGACTAATATTTTAATGATTCTAATCTTTGAGTTATGCAAGCAGTTGAAACATTAGATATTTTTAAAACATTCTATCAGGAAGGAAGGGATAAGAAAAAAAGTGAAAATAGAAGGAAAAAATGGAAACAAAGCTTTTGTACATAGGGAGGGAAGGGGAACTGAGGGGGCAAATGGAATAAAATAAAATTTATTTTTATAAATAAATAAATAAATAATAAAACATTCTATCACTGGCTCTGTTCTCATTTGCCCTCTTCACTGAAAACAGAGAAAAGAATCAGTACATATATATATACATAGCAGAGTCCATCTCACACTACCTCCAACACACCAGTATACCCAGCTCAAAAATGAAGAACCTAGGACAAGACTGGACATCCATCCAAGTGCAACCCATGCTATGGAAGAAAAAAGAAATAACCCTCAACAGGCAGAGTAAAATTTCCTCAATCATGGGAATTCCTCCAAAACATGTTCTCACCATAGTATCAGAACTTAGCCAACTGCAGAATGTCACAGGCACCTCCAATCCAGTTCTCTCATCATGTTCCTTCCTACTTATTTCAAGAACCACTGTCTGACCAAAATTGTCATTTTTGGGGGAGAGTCAGGTCATTGAGGTTTAGGACTTTACATGATTTTTTAGATTTCACTGACAGCCTGGGGCAGAGAGCTATTTCAACAACCCAGGGATTGCAACACTCTGCATCAGCAGTGGCACTAACCCAGGATCCAGAAGGCCCTGGGTTTCTTTATTATTCTGTCATTGCTGTGTTAATAACCAGGGTGGCAAAAAAGGGTGGGAACCCTGCTGGAGATAAAGGAGAAGGAAGATGGTTAACCAGTATATGTCTGTGCCTAAAATATGATTAGCAACTTCAGGTTCAAGACAGATGGCCTGATGCAGTAACTGTTTGGCCCTCAACTGAAACAAAAGAAAACATAAGGGAATAATGGTCACAATATGTTCAAACAACTGGGGATTTAGCTCAGTGGTGCCGCTGCATGCCTCACAAGCGCAAGGTCCCGAGTTCAATCCCCAGTAACTGACCCCCCAAATATATATATATTCAAACATATCACTGCAAGTTTATAGCTACCTTCAGGATTCTCAAAAGTTAAATTTGTAAGGTCTTCTGAATGGGGAACCTAAGTTTTTGCAACTATGAAAGAGGCTAATACTTGATAATTTCTTCCCTCTGGCTGAAAAAGATGAGGAAAACTATAAGGCCAGCCCAGACTACATAGCAAGACCCTATCTCAAAACACTAAAGACTGATGAGATTCATACAAGTCATGATTCATGTTATTTTTTAAATTTTTGCTTCTGCAAGCTGGGCATGGTGGTGCACACTGGTAATCCCAGCACTTGGGAGACTAAGGCAGGACTGCCTCAAATTCAAGGCCAGCCTGGACTATATAGCAAGTTCAAGGCCAGTGAACTCTCACATAGGGAGACTCTGATTCAAAAAAAAAAACAAAAAAATTTTGCTTCTGCATCCTGGCATGGTGAAGCACCTGGGACACTGAGGCAGAAGGATCAGGAGTCTGAGGTCAACCTAGCTACAAAGCAAGACCCTATCTCAACAAAAATTCTTTTTTGTTCTTGCACTTTTCTAAAAACAAGGTATATTATGTATGTATCTTCTTTAAAAGGTTACTGTCAATATTTTTAATACAGAATTTCTTCAAGTAATGACATAAATAATATGGTTACTCTATCTCCCAAAGCCAATGTTCTGTATTTTCTCATGAACAGACCCAGCATCTTTGATCTATCATTTGCATAAAATGGTGGTGGTCCTCCCCAGAATTTGACCTACCATCTTTATGAAGGAAAGATAAAAATTTGTAAGACACTATCGTATTTATTGTCAGCCTATTATGAAAGTGCTTCCCAATTAGTTCCATTAAAATGATTACAGTCTGAAAAATAACACAACATAGGGGTATTTCAATGTAAATATCAAGTTTTAGGAAGAAAAAGACAGTAAGAAGACTAAACTCTCATGCTGAGATCATGCTTGTCTTCACCCGTCTAGTAAAGAATATCACTCCCTATCAAGAGCATCTCCACATCTAACCTGCAAGAGAAAGAGGCCAGTAGCAGAGGCCACTAGGTGGACTGACAATGTAAACCCAGCATGACTGGGTTTACTATAAAAAGTTAAATTCTAAGTAAGCTTTATACTCATAAATAAAGACTGGAGGCGAGAGAGTGATCAGGAGAGGACAAACAAAGAAACAAGAAGAGCCAGGGGTGGTGGCACACGCCTGTAATCCCAGCACTTCAGAAGGCTGAGGCAGGAAGATCGCCATGAGTTCGAGTCTACATAGTGAGTTCAGAGCCAGCCTGAACTACAAAGCAAAACTCTGTCTCCAAAAAAAAAAACAGAAAAAACAAGAACAGAGCTAAGTAAATGAGAGTCTAAGAAATATCATGAACACAAACTCTTAGGTCAAAGAACTTGAGCCAGAACAATACCTGTGTCACAGAAAAGGTTTGTCCACAGTGGTGCCCATACAGTTTGGTAGGGGGTGAGGAGGGATACACAAATTAAACTAGTAAAACAAGAACTTCAACACATGCCCGCCAGCTTGAACCACATGCATGACTGTCCCACCAGGCAGCTTAAACAACCAATATATCACTGTTCCATTGGGCAGCTTCTAGTGTTTCTCAGGGGATCTTCAATTATAATAATGCAAAAAAAGGCGCTGATTTAGCAGACTAGATGTTAAGATTTTTCAGCTTCTTAAGGAAAACATTAAAATGATAAAAAAAAATTATAATGCAGCTAATTTGTGGTATAGCAATTGTAAATGCATACTATGTATACCAACAGTGGGGTGTTTGTAAGGTTTCCATGTTAAAATTTAGAGAACTAGTTACTGATAAACTATTAACCTATGAAGAAATGCCACACGTACAAATTAGTCAAAACAACATTCACTTTATAAAAGCTTTTTTAGGACTGGCAAAAAATGCACACAAGTGATGTCAAGTATGTTACTGAAAATTATCTAAAAAACAGTTACTGGGCCGGGGATTTAGCTCAGTGGTTTCGTGGCCTGCCCGGCAAGCACAAGGACCTGAGTTCGATCCCCAGTTCCAAATAAAAAACCCAAACAAACCAGTTCCTACTATAGCCACAAAAAAAAAAAGCCAAGCACATTATGACATTTTGCACATTCTGCACAAATCAGTCACTTTAATGTATAAAATGTTCTAAAGAAATTCACGAATATAAATAAATTTATTTTAATGAAATAAATGTGTTGGTTACTATAATAATTTTTAATTGGTACGAATAGTATTAACATTTATATTTGGGTAGCAATTATTCAAAGTTAAGCAAGTAACTAGATTCAGTCCATTTATAGACTTTTCAT